TCTTTCTTTATTTTTTTCTTTCTATCACCCATTCTTTACATACTTTCAGTTTCCCTCTTTCTTTCGTTTTCCTTTTGTTTTTCTTTCTTTCATTTTCGTTCTCTGTGTGTGTGTGTTTGTTTGTTTCTTTTCCATTTAATTAATTTCTCTTCGTGTTCTTTCTTTCTTGTTTGTTTCTTTTTTTCATTTTGATCTGATTGATTTCTCTTCCTATTCTTAGTTTTTTTTTCTTTCTTTCTACGCCTTTCTTTGCTTAATTTTACTTACCCTTTTCACTCTTTCTTTCGCTTTTTCTTTCTTTTTTCTTTCTTTTTTTCTTTCTTTCATTTTTGCTTCTTTGCCTGTTCATTTTCCATTTGATTGATTTCTATTCCTATTCTTTCTTTCTTTCTTTCTTTCTTTTTTTCTAGCGAATATTATTTTAAATTCATTTTTTTCTTTTATTTATTAAAATTTGCCGTTTAATTCACTTTATTTAATCCTTGTCATAACTGCTCAAAGTCATGGGAATTCTTTGAAATCTTATAACCGTTCCCATGATCATTAGCATCATCTTTGTCTGGTAAGTATCCTCCGTCTGAATGCCATTTCCGTCACCTTGTTATCGAATTTTAACTTTCTTTCACCATTATTTCCCGGCTATTGCAGCCGACATCTATTTTCGCTTTCTTCCTCGACCTCGCCTTTCTAAACTGTCCGATTACCTTCACACTAGATCACACCAGAAAATACAGCTTCAGTTCTCACTCCCGTTTTTATTTTCTTGCTAACTCTTTCTCACAAAGCTTTCAACTGTAGATGGAGGCCACGTATTTGCAAAACTGCTCGTCTCTTAATTACCTGTCACTGCTAACCAACCAACAGTAAAATGGCACAGTCGTCCTTCATTCATCCGGCCGGCGGCGTCTGTCACTGCATTTTTGATTGGTAAACATCAATTTCGTAAATGGCATTCACGTCTTCACCAATGATATGGATTTTTCAGGCCAGAGTAAGGGTAGAGGGAATGTAAAATCTTTGAAAAATAAGGTCTGTAGAGGAAGGACACACTGAGGGCAACGGAACGTGACAATGTGTTGTTATCTTTTTTCGATGTTTGTTATTCAGCCCTCCGCTTATTTCCGTTTAATCCGTACTTTCACTTTCACTTTTAACCTGAGATCTTTCTTTCCTCTTTATATTTAATTTCTTTAAATTATTTCTTTTTCATATATTGATGCATTCCTTTCTTTTTTATGTCATCTATTCTTCCTTTTTTGTTGTTGTTGTTTTTCTAATATCTTTGGATTTTCTTATTTCCTTATATACGTAATATTTTCTCTTTTTTCTTAGTTTTTTTTCTGCTTCTTTTCAATTTGTAATGTATATTTTTTTCTTTTTTTTCATTTAATATTCTATTTATGCGTCATGTTCCTTCAGGTTGTGGGTGATCACGACTCTCCAAAACTTCAGATCCACTGCAACACTATCCGTTGTTTCTCTCCTTACTATTATTCTAATTCCTTGTTCTAACATCCAGATAGTCAAACTTGTTAGATATATTACGAGATATTTTATTCTGCCTCTCTTACCTTCAATATATCCTACGAGTATCAAAGTCATCAAGTTATCTTTCCTCTTTACGCCTCCTGGAAAATTCAACTGCCTTTTTCTGATTCTCAGTATAAGTATCTATCTATCTATCTATCTATCTATCTATCTATCTATCTATCTATCTATCTATCTTTTTTTTTCTTTCTTTCTTTCTTTCTTTCTTTCTTTTTGGTTGCTATTTTCTGCTGTTTTCGTTCTTTACTTTCTTTCTTTTTCATTGCACTATTTTAGTTGTTTCCTTTCCATTTCAAATTGCTTTCTTCTTTTTGTCTATTCAATTTCAGTTCGACTTACGGCCGTATAACGTCGAAACACCGTTTCTAGGACTATCAACAAATTTAAGCAACGTCGATCCGGGTCAGTAAATATGTAGGTAATCGCTTAGGAATAACAGGTGAAGTAAACTTAGATGTGCATGTTGTGTAATGGATAACAGCTCAAAATTGGAAAACAGAGAGCCGAGATTCAATTACATTTGTGTTCGTTATATTCACTTTTGCTCATAAATACTCTTGCGATAAGTATCCTTACTCCCCCAGCTATAGGTTAATTAGTAGAACCTGTATCAGTGCAAATCATTATTATTTAAAAGAAATCTTGGAGTCTAAAAATATTGTATGGCTTTAAATAACTTGCATAAGGTTCATAGTCCATAAAAAACAAACAAATCAATCAACTTCGATCCATTTTTTCCGATACCTCTTTCTTGACATACCTGTCTATATTTCCTGGGGAGTTCATTAATTACTTTTCCCTTTTACTCTTGTTTATACACTTAAATGAGTTAAATATTTGCTTTAATTTCGTTTTAACTTTTCCATCTTCAAATATTTTATTAATATTTTCCTCTGTTAATTCAATTCCATTTTCGATTTTACATTATTATGAATGGCAGCTGATCTCCAAAACGACGTTAAGTTCGTTGTTAACTGGGGCAAAATATGGCTTGTCATTTTTAACGCCTCCAAAACTAAACTTCTCTTCATTAAACATCTGAGAGACTCCTCCTTACCTTCCATCATCATGTCTAAGGCTAATCTCCAGAAGAGAGACTCGTTGCGTCTACTCATACTGGCGTTCTAAGCTGGCATGCAGTAGAAAGACTATATTGAATCTATTGCTAGGTCAGCTGCTAAGTATGTCTGTTTCATGTGTCGTGCAAAACAATGTTTCTCTCCAGAATCTATCATATATATATATATCTATAAGTCTGCTATTCTTCCATGCTTTGAATATTGTTGCTACAAATGGTTTGCTATTTGCCTTGAGCTCCTTGATAAAAATCCAAAGAAGAATCCGCAATATTATTGGTCCTAAGCTGACATGTTGGCTTCAGTTACTCTCCCACCGCCATAAGCTTGCCTCTGTGTGTCTTTTTTTTTATATAAATATTCATGGTAATTTTTCGGATGAGCTCTTCTCTATGGTACACAGACATTTTGAATTTAAGCCCAGTACTTGACTGTCAACGAGATCTCATCAGTTTACAGTAGATTCTATGCTAACAGTTTCTCTTCCCGCACTTCTCGCTTGGGCAACTCCCTTCCAGCTCCATGCTTTCAAACCAACATTAATCTCCAAAAATTTAAATGCAATCTCAAACTCTATCTACTATCCTTCTGATTACTCTTTTCTCTTCATGATCATTATTAATGTTTCTGTTCCCTACACTGTAAACTTTTTGTTTGTTTTAATGGCTTTACTGACTTGCTTGGAGTGAAATACATTTAAAAATCTATTATTTCCCCTTATATGAATTTCGCTTTATATATGCATCCCTGGAATTTGCTTTGGTTATTTCATCATAGCCAATGTATGTTTTATCTGCGTACACATGTTTTGAAGTGTACTTTTCATTTCTTCATTTGTTTTTTTTTTTAATATCGACAATAGCAGACCCACAAAAGCTCAGATAATCTGATTGTTTTCTTTAAAATAAATGACATTTAAAATTCGATTCAATTATCTTCATGTTTTAAATAACGCGATAACTTCAACTTTTTATTTTATTCTCGTATAATAGTTTTCTTTTTAATATAACATGTTCCTAATTAATTTTGCTAAGGGCTCTTAATTTTTTTTTTTTTTTTTAATGCCTAACCAGTAAAAATAATCGAGCGAATTCAGTGTCACCGTTAAAATAAACATAAGATTCTTAGAATAACGTCCTATCTTCATTTTCATCTTAGCACACTGTTACAGAAATGGGACATTAGCTGAGGATCGAATTTACAGCAGTTGTAATGTTTTGCAATGCTAACTCCATGGTGAACGTCCTTACCTAAAATGTATGCAGTCATTTTTTTAGCTAAACTTAATCGCACACTATTATGCACATCTATTCAGGTGGTTGGAATGTCTTTATTTCACTCTTTATTTGTCTTTATTTCGCTCACTTCGGTTCACCGGAAAAGGCCGGAGCATACAACAGCCGAAACGTTGTAATAAATATGGCGGCAAAGATGAGGACAATAGTCCGAATAATGTAAATAGTGTACATAATACCTCATTTCGGATGTATAGACAGATACTAAACTTAATCGATCCCATGTCTACATGCTTTGAGGTACACGGTGAAGGCTGTTCTCTTTATAGAGTTTATCATAGTCAATTCTCATTGGTACAATTACACTTGCGCTTTTGGTCCAAATTAGTTAAGGTTAAAAAATACTTTTATTATGTACCTTACTATATGGAGCAACGTTGCCATCTTGGTTGTCATACTAACAACATTTCAGTAGTTCGAATCGAGCCCCACCCATCAAATAGATTATTATTCTCATTAGGGGACATTTTATATCCCTTGCTCATAATCAAGTGGATTATACCGTCGTATATAACGCATCTGGTTCTTGAGAATTGTAAGTTCAGTCCCTGGGAATAGTAGTGCTGAAAAGTTTTCGGCTCAAAATTCAGAGAATGCTACAAATCACGAAGACAGTTACATGCAGAAGGATAGAGGTTACAACAGAAGAAAATTACCGGTCCGAATAACAAAATTTCATAAATACGAAATAAATAAATAAATAAATAAATAATAATAATAATAATAATAATAATAATAGAAATAATAATTGGGGCAAACAGAATGCTTGCAACGATATGAAATGGTTATTTATTACATATATTAATCAATAAGTTGCAGGTTCAACCACACTCACAAAGCGAATTGCTGAGAATATAAGCCACTTCAAGTTTTACACAATGAAAAGATTACCATCCTCTACTATGAAGTAATAATGATTTAGGGATACAAGTCTTAATAATTAACCCATAGCTGGGGGAGATGGGGTGGATTCATACATTTTCTAAGGGCATTTGTGCATAAGGGCATATAAGGGAGCCCAACTCGGGTCTCCGATTCCAAATTTCGTGTTGCTATCCATTACACTAGCCACACAGTTTACAGGCTCCCAAACGGTCACCTATCTACGTATTGACCAAGCTCGACCATGCTTGACTTCGGTGATCATACGGGAACCAGTGTTTCAATGCAAAGTGGTCGTCAATTCAGAACGATATGGAAATCCTCGCAATTCGACCAGAAATAATTGTGAAAAATCATGTTTAAAACGCTTGTTTTCTGACAGATGTTTGCAGCCGATGCGGAGAAAAAATCGTTTGCGAAATTAAATAAATGTTAGGACGGAGAGATAGGAATCAGTAGAATATAGCGTCATAAGACAATAACATGACCTGTTGCCACTTGGGTTTTAGAATGATACCAAAAAGAGCAAACAAATAGATGGACAAATCCCTCCTCGCTATAAAATATATGAACTGCAAAAGAAGTCTACGCATGCGTAATTCTCACAACTTACATAGATTTCTCTCAAAGCAGTGACCACAATTATATATTTTGTTACTCATTCAATGGCATATCATCAGATTGCATATTCTGATATAAAACAAACCTTTTCCCTTGAAGTATCTGTTTGAGACTTGCGGGAAAATCTTACAACACAAAGTATAGTGAAAATATAATAATAATAATAATAATAATAAAAATAATAATAGGCTGGACTTATACTACAGATTGGTAGGGGGGGCTGGATATCAAAGAATTCATTAAACAAAGGGGTAGAAGCAGAACAGTAAAAGTTATACTTTTCCGGTCATCTCTCAGCCTACTAGCCGCTAAAAGATACATTAAGCGGAAATATAACATTAAATCCCTAATTGATATTCCATCAATCAAGGAATTGCTGAAGCAGAAACTTCAGCTGAAGGCGCAGAGAACAAGACGATACGAAAAACGTTGTAGGTTCTATCGCCAAAATAAAATATTCCGAACAGATCTTAAGAAATTTTACAGAGAAATTGGAAAAACACCTATACATGTCGAAAGGCCCCCATCGATTGATAATGTACAGACATTTTGGGAAAATATTTGGAGCAGCCCAAAGGAATATAACCCAAATGCAGAATGGATACGGCGTGAAGAAGAACGACTGCTGGATACACCTCTGCAAGAATGGGAAAATATATCCACAGATGAGGTTAGGTAAGCTCTAACGAAATCCCAAAAATGGAAATCCCCAGGAAATGACAAGTTGCCCAATTTCTGGCTGTATCATCTCACATCTACCCATGAAATTCTTGCAAAAACATTATCAACGCTTGTAAATAATCCCTATGAAACCCCGGAATGGATTACTGAAGGTATGACACACCTCATACCAAAAACAACTGAAACAGACGACCCGAAAAATTATAGATCGATAACATATCTCTCCACAACGTATAAGTTGATCACGTCTGTATTGACGAACCGTACTTATTCCTTTCTCGAAACAAACAGCACTCTCCCGCTGGAACAGAAGGGATGCAGAAGAGGTTCATATGGCTGCAAGGATCAACTTCTGATAAATAAAATGATCCTGGAAAATTGCAGGAGACGACGCAGGAACCTAAGTGCAGCGTGGATTGATTATCGTAAAGCCTTTGATAGTGTTCCACATTCTTGGATCCTTAAGACTTTGGAAATGTACAAAGTCTCCCCTGTGGTATTAAATTTCCTTAAGCACAGCATGGGAATGTGGAACACCAAACTATACCTTAGTCACACCGGGGGCACTGCCATATCCAACCGTCTGAGTATCCGACGTGGAATCTTTCAAGGAGATTCTCTGTCACCCCTTCTGTTTTGTTTATCCTTAATCCCTCTTACACACGAGCTGAACAACAGTAGCTATGGTTACAAAATAAATAAGAAAATATTCAATTACCTACTCTACATGGATGATCTCAAACTCTTTGCCAAAGACGACAATGAGCCCAAAATGCAGAAAGAGAGAGAGAAATAATGAACTTTATTTAGTAATATCGGTAGCCCAATAATTCAAATGGAATTTCAAGTGGGTGAGGACGTGCAAATAAACCATGATATACCTACTACAGCGGCAAAGCACATAAAAAAGGGAAGATGATCAAATATAATATAGCAAAATGCAAAAACGATGGCAAGATAAGCATCTTTATGGTCAATACACTACCTGTACGAAAGAAGCTGATGTAAACAAACCACGTACCCATCAGTGGCTACGTAGTGCAGTTAAAAGCTGAGACCGAAGTTTCTATTCTGGCCGCACAGGACGGCCTGCTTGCTAACTAGAAATTACCAAACGCTCATACTGAATCACCGTGTTGATCTAAAATGCAGATTCTGAGATAAATATTCAGAAATAATTGATCATCTAGTAACAGGTTGAACAGTGTTAGAACCAATTGAATATAAAACGCGACATGATAGAGTGGGCCAATATCTGCACTGGAAAATATGCAACATTTACAGGAAGGCAATTAGTATGACCATCACCCAGACCCGGCTGTAGTGAAAGGACCTATAATAATTCTATGGAATTTTACAATACACACTGGCAGAACAATCAATGGTAAGCGTTCAGACATCGTGACCAGAGACTACAAATACAGAATTTTCTTTCTTATTCATATGGCAGTCCCTTCAGATTGTAATGTATCTTTGAAGATCTTCAAAACAAATTTCAAAATACAAGGACCTTGAAGTAGAAAACTAAAAAATGTGGCATATGAGGACATCAATAATTCCAGTTGTATTTGGAGCACTGGGGTAGATTGACAAAGGTTCCGATAGACTCATTCAAGAGATTCCTCGTAGTTCATGCCTTAAAGAAATACAAAAAGTTTATACTCGCATGTACAACTCACATATTACGAAAAGCTTTATTTGTGTAAAATGTCTGTAATCTTAAGGGTTTTTAATTCGTTTTTTACAAAAATAATCAATGGAAAATGCCATGAAGTCATTTCTGACCTTCGGTCTCTGTTTGGGACCCGGAAGGAAATGTGTATACAAAAGAAATCCAAGGAAATAATAATAATAATAATAATAATAATAATAATAATAATAATAATAATAATGAAAATAATAATTACTCAACTTAAAATTTCAGATGAAAAACATTAATAATGTCCCACCCAGTGAGAATGTAATATATTACAATAGATATTGCTTCCTAAAATAGCACGCTATACAGTGAAGCGCTATTATTTAAATTGACTAAGAGCGTACATGCATGAGAGATAGACTAAATAGTTCAAAATATTTTCAACGGTTCTTTTTAATTATTAAAAGCATGTGAATATTTTTCCAGTTTTTCTTTATAAATAATATTGCTGTTTTTTTTTTCTCTCTCCCTTAATCAAATAGCGTTAAGTGTTGATTAAACTTGCGGGAAAATGAACGGAAAACAATCTGAACCACGGGAAGTGGCAATAAAGCTGATTTTCTTACGTATATTTTTCTAAAATATTTTCTTGAATTAAAAAATAAAGAATGTCAACAGAATTGATTTTTACTTTTTGTCTTTCCTGTTCTTTCTTCCTTTCTTTCTTCCGTTCGTTTTTCCTCACGCTTAACATTTGCTTTTTTTGAGCTATCTCCCGTGTTCACGTCAACAACAATGTTCCGGCCCATTGCATTCTGGGATCTCTGCGTGAATTTAAGTGTTGTAGTCGATGGAAAACTGAATGGACTTCAAACAATGCATAAACAAACAAAAGGGACAGCAGGCGCTACATTGCCCCTTGTGGTAATTTACATACCACTGTCAAAACAATTATAGAATATGAAAATGAATTTAAGATCCATCAACATTAATATGGGTCATGTATGTTCATATATATATATATATATATATATATATATATATATATATACATACACACACACACACACACACACACATATATATATATATATATATATATATATATATATATATATATATATATATATATATATATTCGGTATCATGTATTTCCTGGATGATATATGTATTAACGTAGACTTAATGAAGATGATGATGATGATTCTCAGATGTGAAGCACACAGCGAAGTACGAAAGACTACAAATATTGTTTGCTGGGAAGCCTGCCAACAACTGGTCAGTAAACAATGCGTACATATATACTAAGTTAGTCTGGCACAAGGCCTTAAGATCAGGTTTTCGAGAAATAATCAGCCTTCAAAAAAGGAACGATCTACAGAACCTGTGTTGCTAAACGACATTCTACATTATGCTTCCTCTCCTCCTTGAAGTTTGACAACGTTCATATGGAAACTTCATACTTCAGATTTCGTAGTTACCTTCTGACAGACAACGTGTTAATAATGCCTTGTATCTAATTTGTTAATCAGACTCTGTGTAATTTCAGGAATATAAGCAGAAATGTCAGTGATGACTGAATTCGATATGCTTATACTGAACTCTCAATGTTTTAATAATTTACAATGAGATTGAATTTAAAATTCCAATAGGTAAAAATTAACTTTTGGTTTTTCCTTCAGCTGACATGCTCTGTATGAGATATATCCAGTAATTAAACAGATTAATTTTAAAGAAAGGTTAATTATCTAAACCATCAGAAAATTTGTATTTTTCAAGTTAGTCCGTTCTGGGAACTCTCATATTTATTCCAGCGCCTCTTCAGTTCCTGAAACAGTGTGTAAATCAATCTCATATTATCGTCAACAGCGGCTTCATCGAATTCTCCTAAATGTCGTCCACAGAATTTCAGCAACAGATGTAATTTGGAAAAGAAGACAAAAAAGCATTGAAATCAAATCTAGAATTTAGAGGTGGGGAAACACACTTTGGTAATGCGATGATTTCTTAAAACACTCTGTATAATACAGTGGGGTTGTATACGAAAATCTGAAAAATTTTAGAGAATTTCCTAAACGATATGTGTTAAATCTACTCTTAATGTTGACAGTCTCGGAAGTTTAGAATTAGGGTAATTTTTTCCTAACTACAAGTATGCCTCAGTTGTTTGATCAATTGCAGTTAACTCAAAACTTGCAGTTCTGCAGTTTTTTTTCAATGATCATTTTCTGATAGGTGATTTTGATACCTCTTTTTGCGAAGAATATATTTTGAATCTTGTTGAAATGAAAGTTATAACTTGACCCTTAGTACTAAAATTATGTTTCTCAAGTGGATTTTGTGGCGC